TTTATGATAATTGACTCTATAACTTATATATAGAAAAAAATATACCTCAATAAATTCCACAAAAATGCAAGTCATATTCTCCATCAATTATATAATAAAGGTAGGAATCTATAACAATCAAAACATAAGAAAGCCTTACCACCTTGAAATTTTTAACTTTTCTATTAAACATAACTTGGCTCAAGGGGAAATACCAACTGATATTGAGAATTTCAAAAAAAACCCATAATGAAACAACATCAGAAACTATGAGATACTGTTAAAGAATGTTCAGAGTAAAATTTGTAGATTTAAATCAATAAAAATGAGAGAAATAGAAATAAGTTAGATATTGCACTCAAAAAGTCAGAAATATTTAAGGCTTGCTTTATTTTTCCACACTGGATTTAATTATTTGTAAATTAAGCATCCTAGGTTTGAACACAACCTGAAACAAACCTAGCTCTATGAAACTGCAATTAGCTATTTTACAATTAGGTATAATTTTGGTACTGTTATTTTGAAACTATTACATATTAGGGAAAAATAAATAAGCAATTATGTTATTATTATTAGGAACCATGCTTTTCACCAAAGAGAAAATGATCATTTGTTGTAGCAATATCTTTACCAATACAGCTCCTAGGGCACTGGAAACTAAAGAGAAAATAAACAAATGGGACTACATCAAAATAAAAGGGTTCTGCACATCGAAAGAAACCATCAACAAAACAACAAGAAAGCCCACTGCATGGGAGAACATATTTGCCAATGTAATCTCCGATAAGGATTTAATCTCCAAAATTTATAAGGAACTCATACAACTTAAAAAAGAAAGATAAACAATCCAATCAAAAAATGGGCAAAGGACATAAATAGACACTTTTCAAAAGACGACACAGAAGGCCAAGAGACATATGAAAACATGCTCAAAGTCCCTAATCATCCGAGAGATGCAAATCAAAACAACAATGAGGTACCATCTCACACCTGTCAGAATGACTATCATCAACAAATCAACAAATGACAAGTGCTGGCGAGAATGTGGAGAAAATGGAACCCTCATGCACTGCTGGTGGGAATGCAGACTGGTGCAGCCACTGTGGAGAACAGTATGAAGTTTTCTCAAAAAACTAAAAATGGAACTCCCATCTGACCCAGCAATTCCACTTCTAGGAATATATCCCAAGAAACCAGAAACACCAATCAGAAAGGATATATGCACCCCTATGTTCATAGCAGCACAATTTACTATAGGAAAGAATTGGAAGCAGCCTAAGTGCCCATCAGCAGGTGAGTGAATTAAAAAACTGTGGTACATCTACATAATGGAATACTACGCTGCTGTAAAAAGAAAGGAACTCCTACCATTTGCGACAGCATGGATGGAGCTGGAGAGCATTATGCTAAGTGAAATAAGCCAGTCAGAGAAAGATAAATACCACATGCTCTCACTCATTTGTGGATTATAATGAACAACATAAACTGATGAACAAAAACAGATACAGAGGCAGAGAAACATCAATCAGATGCTCAAACCTCAGAGGGAAGGTATGGGAGGATGGGGGTATAAGGGAGAGATCACCAGAGGAATTGTATGCATGAATATGAACATAACCAATGGACACAGATGGGGGCGGTGAGGGGGTATGAGAGCATGTGCTGGGGGTTGGGGGCGGCCGAGGAGAGGTCAGTTGAGGGGAGGAAGGAGATTTATGTAAGACTTTAAACAATAAATAATTTAAATTTAAAAAATATATAAAATCAAATAAGTAAAGAATTATGTAATCTTTCATTAGAATTGCAAAATAATCAAACACTTATGATTTATTTATATATTTCTTTGAAAAACTACATACTTCCTAGACCTTGTATTAAAAAGTCTGAGAAGTAACAGCAACCCATTTAGCCATGAACATCCAAAAGTGCACAGATGTGGTCAAAATGCCATTGCGCTGAAAGCAATGACGACTCCTTTGAGAAACAGTTGATTTTATACCTGGGGCCATAAATGAGACTGTTCCAATTAACAATGGAACTCTTATAGTGTCCAAAAGCAAGGAAGCCATCAAAACATGTGTGGTTGTCAAATGAATATAGAAATCAAAGATACACAATTTGAGCTTTGAAATGAATACCGTATTTGCCGGCGTATAAGACGACTGGGCGTATAAGACGACCCCCTAACATTTCCACTCAAAATACAAAGTTTGTTATATACTCGCCGTATAAGACTACCCCCTCTTCCGCACACCTTCCACACACCAAATAAAAGGTAAAACAATATCAGATTTGATTTTAACATTTTAATTTATATTCAAATGCTTATGACATGCAGGAAAACTGTCACAAGGCTGTATGTAATCAAACATATACATAAAACAGTGCAAGTTTATTACCAGTAAACATACCGGTAATTCACTAAAGAAAACACACTCTATAGACTGGTACCGTAGATGCTTCTCAGGAACACAGGCAAGCAGCCCACAACCTAGAGGGACTGTCAATGATAGAAGTAAGATAACAAATAGAGGGAGAGCAAGTGCCGGGCAAGTCCCTAGCAAGTTTGCTGGCGTGACAGTTTCACCTTAAAAGCCTTCAAACTCCTCTTCATCATCTGATATTAAAAGTTCATCAACGACATCTTGGTGCCATGATAGGGATGATAGGGGTTTGACTGGTCGACATTTTCTATGCTGTACTGTACAATGGGGCAGTATTGTGGTTGGCTGTTGGCTGTATACAAAGCCTGATTTGATTGGTCCCTGCTCCCTGTTTGCCCGCCCTGTCACTATAGCAGTCTGGTCCACCCTTGCATCAGCATCTCCCTGGGACCTCACTAGTGCGCAAGTGCGAGCTCTTCAACATTCTAACAGGCACCATGATAGCGCAAAATCGCGAATCTTCAATGCATATGTAAAGAAATATACGGTAACCCGAATTTACCACACTCGCAAAATCGCACACAGCCAACCATACACCCAGTATGGTATCGCGATTCGTGATTTTGCGCTATCATACTGGGTGTATGGTCGGCTGTGTGCGATTTTGCGAGTGTGGTAAAATCGCATAACAGCAAAATCGCATAACAGCCGAGCATACACCCAGCAGCGCTGCTGATGCCTGAACGGTATGTGGAATGAAGTGGGCGGGCATCGGGAGGCCACTATGGCACGGGGCAAGCACTATGGGCAGTCTATCTGAAGTGTACCTGGCGTATAAGACGACCCCCCACTTGGAGGCATATTTTTCAGGGCCAAAAAATCGTCCTATACGCCGGCAAATACGGTAGTTACTGTAATTATATAAAAGTGTAAATAGAGATGCCAATAGCATTAATGGATAACTAGAAGCAATAAGAGATTCAATATAGTAGCAATATATAAAGTTACATAAAAAATCATACCTTCATGTATTTAAGCAGTAGCAATTAAAGGGAAAAGTAGAAGAGATGGCACCATTTACATTGCCAACAAAAATGAAATATAGCCTAGTAATGCATTTAACAAGAAACGTGCAAAACTTGTATGGAAAAAAAAAACTAACGCTTTTCTGAAAGACACAAAACTGGAACTTGAATAAAAGGAAAAATAGCATTATTCTTCAGTAGAATAATACAAAATCATAAGTTGATGGCAACATTTTAAAGTATTTTTATGGAGCTAGATTCTATAGTTTATACAACTAAATGAATAAGCAAGAATATCCAGGAAACAGGAAAAATTAAACAAAAAACAGCAATGAAGCAGGTCTATCAATAACAGATATTGGAATATATTATACATTTCTATAATTTAAACAGTGTAATATTAGCACATGAGTAGACAATCAGATCAAGTGGGGGGAAGAAAATACAGATATAACTCAAGTACAATGTGGAAATTTATGTATGTGATAAAAGTGGTACCTCAAGACACTGGGAGAAAATTTGACTTTTTAAAATTTAATGTTGTTAAAACAGCTAAATAGTCCTTTGAAAATAGATAAAATTGAACATAACATCACCTAGATAAGATTTCATCTCAAAAAAAGCCCCAAAATCTTCAACATTAATCTTGTGTTGAGAACCAATCTGAGTATCCAAATTGAAGTATATTCTGGAAAAACCACTGGCCTGAACTAAAATAATGTCAATACCAGAAACACACACACACACACACACACACACACACACACACACGGCTAGGAAAGTATTCTAAATTGAAGGAAACTTAAAGAGACTTGAAAACTAGTCAATGCAATATGTGATCCTTGTTACAGCCCAGATTTATAGTTCTAAACGATAGGGTAAGCGAGGATTTGGGAGGGAGGGGGCAGTGGTGGAGGGATCAGTTGAGGAAATTGGAATATAGACTTCATGCACTAATTGAACGGTGTTTAGTGGATTCCTGCTTCCTGTGGCTGGAGAGCCTAATGAGGCACGTATCTCCTAAGGACACTGGCTTGTGAGCCTACAGGACAGTGGTCCTCAAAGGGGGCGATGTTGCCCACCCTCCCACTCCAACTTCTGGCAGTGACTGGAAACATTTTTGGTTGTCACGAGGGAGGGAGGGCTGCTCCTGGCAGGGTTGCCAGGAGCGCCACTGCACATTGTGCAATGCTCACGACAGTCCCCCGCCCCCACAGCAAAGACTCATCCTGCCCAAAGCGTTAACAGCGCCCAGACGGAGAAGAAGACCTGATTCGGGAGATCCCTATCTTAGGGGGCAGGTACCGGGACATCAGACCGCATTAAATGAAATTGTCCTTTGTGCATATGAAACGTTAGATACGGTTAAAGGTGAAGGGTTGCGAAGTTCACAACACAACCAACTCAAATTGTTCAGCAGAGACACGGTCCATGTCCTTCCGCCCTGGCTTCCTCCAGCCTGGACCCCGGGGGGCGGGGACCACGCCTCCCCAGCG